TAATAATCCAATGTCATGGGAGCTAAACCAAAAGAAATCTTTGCATTGACTATTGGTTAAATCATTAAAATTAAAATGCACTTCTGCTTGCTCAATACCTTCTTCTAGGAAATGAACAAGAATTAAATCTTCAATTTCATTATCATCGGCACCAGCTATTATTGCTGCATCAATTTTTAAATCCATTTTTCAATAAAAACAGTTAAGTATTAGAGTATTACTAACATTAATTTCTAGGCAGATTTCTATTCTATTTTAGGCATCGAGCAAAAAGACAATTCGCTCCGTGGGTCTCCCCTCTATTTACAGTCACGTGACACGCTGTCAGATTTGTGAGGACGTTTTAGTATTGAGTCTTATGGGATTATTTTGTTAAACTTAAATATTTTATTTTGTGGTATTAACATCCGGATACAATTTTTAGAATTAATTAGTTATTCATTTATAGTGACATTTATAGTTCAACAAAAATATTTTTTGTCGTTAATAAAGATTTAATAACATAATCTGCGAAAGTGAGGTTATATATACATGATCAACCAATGATCAACATCCATGGTACAATGAATATGTTCATTGTACCATTCACAAAAGCGTCCTGATAAAATTTCAAACAATCGCCACCATGAGCAGGTCAGTCGATTTTACTTTGACACTTTCTTAACCCTCGGAGCGAATAGAGGGAATGTAAAGGTAGTGGGGGCAAACATATTGTTAGACAGGAAGTGCGATCTTTAGAGGCCACATTAAACAAGGAAAGAGAGTCTCTCTCCTTGTTTGACATCAAATTTAGTTGGGTTATGTTATTGTTTGTCCCAAATGTCACATGAAATCTTATTTATATTGAAGTTTTTTAACAATTGTGTCGCATTTTAGACTCTTATCATTAATAATTAATTAAAACTTTCTCGTCTAAGACACATTTTGAAAAATATTATATAGCTACTGTTGATAAGTGTCGGAAAATTTAAATTTGGCGCATTCGCATTTCCGGATATGTCCGCCATCAGAGGCCACTTTTTTGGTCTCCTTTTCATAAGGATTAGATTCCCTCTTTTATCTTATTGCTCGATGATTTTAGGTTACATTTAATGCCAAACGTCGGTTGTCATAATAACGTTAAGTCTTATCGTACCCCGCCCAGAACAATTTACGATAACTCTCTTGATACCTGCGTTCATCGAGCAAAAAGATAAAAGAGGGAATCTAATGGTTATGAAAAGGAGACCAAAAAAGTGGCCTCTGATGGCGGACATATCCGGAAATGCAAAGGCGCTAAATTTAAATTTTCCAACACTTGTTAACAATAGCTATAAAATATTTTTCAGACTAGAAAGTTTTAATTAAATATTAACGATAATAGTCTAAAAAGTGACATAATTGGTAAAAAACTTCAATATAAATAAAATTTCATGTGACAGTTGGGACAAACAATAACATAACCAAACTAAATTTGACTTCTTAAACAAGGAAAGAGACTGTCTTTCCCTGTTTAAAGTGGCCTCTCAAGATAGCACTTCCTGTCTAACAATATTTTTGTACCCACTACCTTTACATTCCCTCTTTTATCTTTTTGCTCGATGCCTGCGTTTCAATTGACCGTTATCCGTTATTTACGTGTTGAAACGGTAAGTAACGTTTGACGTTGCGATTAGGGAGTTTTTGTAACTACCTAACGTAACGTATCTCCTTATACGTAAACAACTAACGTATCGAAGAAGATGAACGTTAAATTGAGAGTTTTTGTTCTGCACCATTTCTGCACGTAACGTAACGATGGTGTTGCCCTCATCGAAATAGTGACAAACTAATAAGTTGTCAGTGCCAGTGTTGTCCTTGTCACTTAACCCTATTTTTGATATTGAAAATAAATAATAAATATTTTTTCAACAATTTTTAATTTTGGTGGTGGATGCAATAATAAACTTAGGTGCCTTTATTGATGATGAAGAAAACAAGCACATAGAAAATGCGCTTCTTCTCCACATCTTGCACGTCTATACGGCCACTTTAATTTATACCATGTCTGATATATAATGTAAAAATATTTTTCGCTTTTGGATTAAATTCCACCTTTCTGGATAATCGTAAGGGTTCTGGCCTACGACTTCTTCAACAAAAACAAATCATTTTCATTGCTGAAGTAAAATCGTTTTCTACTGCTTTCCATTATTTATAAAAATTAAAACAAATATACTTAACCACAAATGTGATGAAATGTTGATATTGTCTATTCGCTTAGCTAGGGCATATTTTGACAGACTCATTGTCGGAAACCTACAACACAACAATTCCTACTTCTCAGTATTCATAGCTCAAGTATACTACTATTGCAGACTTCTTTCTTTGAAAAAAAGAAGAATTATTCGAAATAGTGGAAGTGTATACTAAACCCATCAGATTTTCCCTGTATATTTAAAATATAATATTTGAATTGTTACAATTTAAAATATTGTAGTAAATATTTGTATTATTCGCGTTGTTTATTTAATTTAATATAGTTTTATTGTTTTATTATCTTTGTTTAATTCTTTTGTTAGTTCTATTCAGTTAATTAGTTAGTTATATTTTAAATTTTATTATTATGGATAGTCAAAGTTTTCCATTTGTTCCATCAGCTAATGCGTTGGTAAGTTTTTCTTAATAAATATGATAAAATGTTTTTTAAAAGTTAATATTTTTAGATTAGTTGTTTCTAATTTAATATAAACTTGTTTATACTTACATGGAGGTTTTTGTTGTTTGTTTGGGCTTATATGACTGCAGACTGCGGCCAGGACACTGAATTCATTCACCATATGTGGAAGATTTTAACATCCTCAAATGCTAATGAGCAAAAATTACTATTGAACCACGAATTTGCCTAGTCAAATTACTAATATTTGTTTTTAGCATATGGAAGTACACTTATTTTGTAAGATAATAAAACAACAGTGTATGTTAATGCTATCCAATGAACTGTTAATCTTTAATCATTGATTCCATCCTAGTCACAACATAAGGAACTTGCTGTGTCTTATTTAACCTCACTTTGACTTTTTAATTTTGTAGAATTTATTCCCACTTTTTTTATTTTGTACAATAAATAATTTTATTATTTGTTATCAATACATTATACGGTGTAAATAAATAAATATTGATTGTCGGCAAAGTTCTATTTTATTTACTTTTGTTTACATTAATATTGACTAAGAGCACGTATGCTTGGTTGTATAGTAATTTCCAGCCACTTCGAGTCTGTCAAAAAGTAACTAACTTCGCAAAAAAATAATTACTAAAATCACTAGACAGTTCGGACTGGGAATAGCGAACCGGGTATATTTTGGTAATCGGGTTAGATCCCCTTGAGCATTCGGTTACTTTCGGCTCGATAGGGATGCGTATGAACCATCGAGCAAAAAGATAAAAGAGGGAATCTAATCGTTATGAAAAGGAGACCAAAAAAGTGGCCTCTGATGGCGGACATATCCGGAAATGCAAAGGCGCTAAATTTAAATTTTCCAACACTTATTAACAATAGCTATAAAATATTTTTCAGACGAGAAAGTTTTAATTAAATATTAACTATAATAGTCTAAAAAGTGACACAATTGGTAAAAGATTTCAATATAAATAAAATTTCATGTGACAGTTGGGACAAACAATAACATAACCTAACTAAATTTGACTTCTTAAACAAGGAAAGAGACTGTCTATCCTTGTCTAAAGTGGCCTCTCAAGATGGCACTTCCTGTCTATCAATATGTTTACCCCCACTACCTTTACATTCCCTCTTTTGTCTTATTGCTCGATGGCACAGAATAATAAACAAACAGAAGGGCCACTCTCAGATGCCGCCTTTGAAGTTTTTCAGCACGCGCGCCATGTTTTAGGAGGACACAGACATATGATTTGTGTGGTTATGTAATTGTTTATATTTATGTTTAATTATATTATATTTATGTTATTATATTTAACAATGTTAATATAATTGTATAGTATGTCTATGATTGCCGTAAGTCAAATAAACCTGGTTAATTTTTCCATGCACACCACATAAACAACACTAATTTCTTTAAAATCCTCCTAAAACATGGCGGAACGTCTGCGCGGAGGAGATGCGCGTACTTAATTTTCCGTGGAGAGTGGGTATTCTGCTTGTTTATTATTCTGTGTCGATGGTATGAACGTAACGTATCAGCCCGTTACGTTAGTTAAGACGTATCTAGATACGTTAGTTCAACCATTAATGCACATGCTTATATGTCAAAAAGATACGTTACATATTTGCTTGCACAAAAACTCTCTAGTAAGAGTTTACATATCTCTGAGTTTACCTAAAGTACAAGCTGATTATAGCCGCAAATGTCAAACATGTAACAAAAATTTCGGCTTAGCAAAGTTGGCATGTTTTTGTGATGTATGTGTTGTATGCTTCAAATATAAAGAGATAAAGTTTTAGAAAAATACATTTGGATTATATTGTGTTATGAATTCTGCAATTTTTTATTTATATAAAAAAAGAATCATTAAATATTTGTTTCTTTGGAGATTAATTGCAGTTAATTATTAGAATTTTTTTAGCAATTACCCGTTGATAGATTATGGGATAGATTTGGCAATCGTCAAATCAGCAGTTGCCAGATTTCAAAAGATGTTTGCAATTAATCTGGAAAGAGACAAATATTTACTCGTTATTATTTCATAGAAAATAAAAATTGCTGAACTCATAAAATAGTATAATCAAAACGTACTTTTTAAAACCATTCTCTCTTTATATTTGAAACATACAAAATATGAATTATAAAAACATCCCAACACTGTAAAACGCAAATGTTTTATTTTATGGTTGACATTTGCAGCTATATTCAGCTTGTACTTTCAGTAAACTTAACGACTTAACCATCTCCTGTTATCTACTGTTTTTTATGTCCTGTTCTACTGTTATGAGAAATTTTCATCTGGCAACACTGGGCCAGTGCAACTCAGTGTGGTGTCAGAGCAGAGATATGTTCTGTGTCAGAGTCACGTTGGTCACGTTTTCATTTTGCCACTAATTTATTTCTGGTTGTTGGAAAAGATATATGTATAGAAACAGATATAAGAAGTAACTATAGATTAATATATTATTTCACCACCTTAAATAAAAATTGTTTGATTTATAATGCCGACAATCGGAGTTAATAGGGATTTATTATTTAAATCATTAGGCAAAAGTTACAGTGAGTGAATATTAATTAAATAATTTTAATCATTAAGCAAGGATGTGTTTTACATAGATTTTCTTCTATTTTTAGCTGATGATGAATTCCAGATCCTTTGTTTTGAATTTGGTTTGGAACTAGATGAAGTGGTAGGTGTACAACATTAGAAATTGTTAACCAAGTCATTACTACCTATATTAATCCTTAAGTACTGGCAGCTACAGTTGCTACACAAGTACTGACAGGGAGTTACATTGACTCCTTTGAAAAAATGGTTAAAATCAAAACTTCAATTAATTTATATTTTTTTGTTAAACACGTAATTAATATTAACAAGAAACACCTTTTATTGAAAAACTTAACAGTTATGAAAAATGGTACATTCCATAGGCAAATAATTACACCTGAAAATGGAGGTATATACTTTAAAATAGCAAAAAATGACTAATTTGTGCCTTAGCTGATTAGCAATGATATTTCTACTGAAAAAGCATAAAAACTTATTTTAAAATATAATTATGGTAAAAACTGCAACTGGTAAACAAAGGTAATAATTTAGTGCTCTTCTTGTTTGGAACTTGGAAATATTACACCACAATATTCACAACATTTTCAGGAACATTTCAGACATATTGGCCTTCTACATTTTATACACAAGCTGCATTTCTTTCTGCATTATCTCGAAGGGCATATGTAAAAATATTTTCGTGTTTTCAGATGTTCTTTGTGTATACCTTGTGCTTCTTCTGGTAAATGCAAAATGTGACGAATTAACACCTTCGCTGCGTCACCAGTCGAAAAAGACTGGTAACTACGTTTGCAGAAATTATGGCTAAAATAAATACATGTATTTCCATCTGGCGAGTAACGTACAAACGAAACGCGTTGGTAAAAACTAACATTATAGGTACCTACATTATTGTCTGAAAGAGATCTATCTAATAGAGCGATAACTTAGTACCAGTTGTATTCGACTGGTAAAGCATACAAGTTATTTATTTTGCATTGTTGGATTCCCAAATGAATTCATCTGGTGAGTAATTTCATTTGTAATTACCAGTTTAGTTTAGTTATCTCGATCGAGCCATAATAGTGTTTAAAATATGTGTATAAGAAGTGATTAAATAAGTGGCACTGTTAAATTAGTAAATTTGGTGTTGCAAAATGCAACTACAAGTGGTAGTTGTGTAGAACCAGATCAGAAATTGGATCGGCACCAAGAAACAATTATAAATACTTTGAGCGAATCAGAGGAAGAACTAATTACTTAGCGACAATTCGGACTGTGATTCTAATTACGCTCCTTCTGAATATTCAACTAGTTCAGCTAATGACGAATATAATCAGTTTTGGGAAAACATATACTAACAAAACCTGGTACCAAAAAATGCGAAATTGTATGGAATGTTACAAGAAGCTGAATTAAAAAATGAAAAGTAAAGAAACTGATAAAATTGTATTTAAAATTACTACACACTGTAACACATGCGAGGGAAAACTATGTTTACCATGTTTTAATTTTTAACACATTGGTATATTTTAAAACTTATGCTGCTTACTAATAATTAGCATTTGTTGTTTTTATATTTCATGAAAAATATGTATTTTGTTCTCAATAATAGTTTTGGTTTTATTTTACTTGAAAATATTATGCACTTTTTAAAAATTTCAGATTTTGCTTTACCAAAATAATTAGCCTGGTAATGATGGTCTAGCAAGTTTGTATATTCCTTGTATTTATACAACTATTATTACACATGAATCTTTGAAAATTTACAGATAGATCGCACTCACATTTCTTAAGAACTACCAGTCTATTGCGACTGGTGTATCTAAATACATAATTCTATAGTACCAGTCAATTACAACTGGTAAAACATACAATATAATAATTGTGTTTTTCGTAATCGCAGCGAAGGTGTTAAACATTTCACTTCCCTACTTACATGTGGATTTTCCAATCGATTTTTATCTTACTGTTCAGCTAAAGTTTTTACAATTTTGTAACAAGTTGTATCAGTTTTATTTAAAGCATCTATTTTCATCTATAGCATCAACTCCACCTTTAGTTAACTTATAAAATGCATTTATCTATGATTTTCCAGTTTCTTTATCAATTGCTGCTGTATGCTGCTGTATGTGCTATATAATCACAGTTTGTTTTTTTGGGTGTATGCAAAATTATGGTTGGATCCTTAGTAAATCCATAAATTGTTTCACCCACTTCATGACTTCTTTTTGGAAGAAAATCTGCTGGTAGCTTTCTTTTAGTTTTTTTAGGGTTCCTACAAATGTCATGTTTGCTACAAATGTCATGTCATGAATGTGTTCCTACAAATGTTTTTCAAAATGTGTTAGCAAGTTTAACTGATGAAAACCGGGTATCAACTGTTATGTTTCTGTCTGGTCAAGCAGATTACAGACTGAGTTGGCTTACAGAGTTTTCTTTCATCTGCAGTTAAACCATGTCTGTCAGTATCTTTACAAGTATAAATGTATGCATTAAAAAGATATTGTGCTTGAGCATCTGTTAGCACCATGATTTTTAACCTGTATGTGTCTGGTTTCAACAGAATATACATTTTAAATTTGCACCTGCCTCTGAAGCTCATTAACATTTCGTCAATGCAAGCTGTGGCTCCTACAGTATAGCAGTTTTTTGAATTTTGTATAAAAATATTAAATAACTCACATTTAGTAGCTGCTGGATCATTCAACTTTGATCTTTTTTGAATTTATCTCTTAATTTTATTTAAAGTATACCTACTTTTGACATTTATACACGCAAAAGCCAATAAAATGTTTAAATTTAATGTAAATCAATGACCTGTAAAAAACGGTATAAATATATTATAGCGAGAGTATTAGTTCGTTTTTGTTGAGCGGTGTAAACGTGGGAAAAGTGATAACATAGGGAGATGAATATTTAAGAGTGTGTGCCATTCACGTGATGATTCCATCTTTTCAGCGGCTCAACTATTGGCGATGTCAACGAACTATAGGAGGCGCTTTGACAGATGATCAGCTGATCACGCACGTAGGAAAACAAAACGGAGCTACCATAATCTTTGTAGGTGAATGATTGCTGTGTCTAAAAATTATCCGTATTTATTACCTTCCATTTATTTTTTTATTAATGCAATGGCAAATAAAGAAATTGAAGTTAGTCTGCTCCATATTTTGAAATATATAGGAGACACAAAAAGACCTTTAAAAGAAAGCGAGGCCTTGTTAAAGGCTGGCCACGTTGTGTTGTGTGGCAAATATAATAACAAATTAGTAAGTTTGTGTGTGCAAACGACTAATTTAAATTGTGCCCCACATGAAATCACTGTGGATGTGTTAAGAGACGAGTCTGGGTGGCAAAATGGACTTGTAAAGCCCGCCAGTGAGGAATGTGCGTGTTTTATTACGCATTAGTCTAGCATGCACCAGTTCCTCATTGATTTTTCTTTCGTGTTTTCCTTTAAGAAGGCATTGAGAGGGAACAACACCTTTCTTCGAAATTTATTTTGCCCTGCTGCAGAAAAATTTGAATTAAGATCTATTTTAGTGTATATATTTGGTTAGGGTAGGTAGGCACATTATATATAATAAATGTTGCAATTCTGTTCAGAAAATTTAATTGAAAAAAAATCTGTTGATAAAAAATGCTGTGAACACACCATCATATCACTTGATATCGATTTCCCAATTTTTAATCCCTGTGCACAACGATCTTATAGATTTTTGTCACGAGGAAAAAAGTGCATAGTTATTCCTTCCGATCGATAATTACTGCATTGCGGTGCAAAGCAATACGGTTTACATTTACTTTTTAACATTTTGTTACCTTATTGTGCTTTATTTAATAATATTTAAACTGTTTATAACTATGTTATGTGTGTAGAACTAAATACAAAATGTTTTGTTATCCTACGTGCACCAGTTCAAAATTTTACCGCACCGTGCCGCCTCTTTCGTTTGACATCGCCAATAGTGTACGCACACTACTTCTGTAAGGTTCTATTTTGCTGCACTTATTATAGTTTTTTTACAGTAATAATATGTTTTTAAATCATGTGCTTCACACTGTCACTAGTGTCACTTTCAGAACAAATAGTTTTATTTTTTGAATCTACTTTATTTGGATCATAGTTGGGGTTATTGTCACTGTCATCAGGCTCTTGCTCACTTTCGGTTTTGTGCTGACTCTCCATATATTCATTTTTGTTTCTTTCAATATCACTATTTTCACTGTATTTCATCATACCATCGCATTTCTTTTTCTTCATAATTAACATATAGGACACTCATATTTTGGGAATAATAATCAATGAAATATTCACTTTTATAACATTTGTACTGAGATGAATCAATTTGACTCGTTACATATCTCAATAAATAAAAATGCAACAACCAGTTTTTCTTAACACTACTCAGAGAACTAAAATTTATGAAGGTACTGTAAGCGACAACGGCTGACAACATTTGTGAAGGGAGTAATACTATGACATTAGTGGCAAAAGAGTCTTTTTGACTCCGCATCATTACTTAAGGCTTATAAAGAAAGATAAATTAATAAATAATATAGTATATATATAATAATAAAAATATAGATAAAGCATTGATTTTATACTTTCTTGTGTTGTCTGATTGTGGAAAAGCGCAAGTACATTTTTAGCACCTTATGTGTTTGATTTTATCTATATGTTTTCTCTTACCATCAATAACCAAATCCTACTTTATTTTGATACAAATTGTTGACAATTTTGTAATGTCAACAATTTGTTTCAAAATATCAAACATAAAGATAATACTTAAAGTAAGACAAAGAATTTTAGCAAAACTGATAGAATTTACATGTGGTAAGATGGTCATATGTATAAAATATAAGGACAAAAGAGAGAGAGAAAAAAAAAAGAAATACTTAAGTTTCAGTAGTCTAACTATAGTCGGACAGTTTTCAATTAAAGGTGACTAATCTACAAATTGAACTAAACGGTGGCGGCAACCGAGTAAAATGTTAGTAATAAATTCTTACAGGGGTCATTTTTATTGTGTATACTTCGCCCATGTAAATAAGCGAAAAAGTAATATAGTCCTCATAACATTTTCCCCCGTAACAATATAAATTGTTGCGATTCACGAGTGTGTAGTGAGACAAGTT